TCTGCAAATAGCAGCCACAATTACTGCCTGAATCACAGCCAGAGCTGGGAGCCAGACTAGAACCCAACTTCGTCAATTAAAGAACTCCTGGTGGCAGAAGGAGGTTTCCTATCTTCTCGGCAGGCCCAGCCATGAGAGGGTAACATCTCTCACACACACAACCCCAGCTGATGCAGCCCTGCCCTCTGCTCATTGCTTAAGTTAAAGAGCAGGCAGTTGCCACAGCCAACGAAAGCAAATGATATGAAGGGCTGCAGGCCAGTTCCCTGTCCTGTGCTACCTTCTATGGGCCACGCTGTGTCTCAGCCATCCTAGGGGAAGGATTGTGCTATACACGGGCTGGCGGGGAAATCCCCTATCCTATGACTAGAGCTTATGGCGAAATGAGGTTCCACCTCCTCCCATGGGAGCACATGGCTCCTAAGCCAGCCCAAACCTAGCAGAACTGGCTAAGCCCTAGGCCTTCACAGCTCTGCCCTCAGAGCCACCCCCCCACCCCCGTTTGCCAGGCTCTCTGTTCCTAACAGCCCCGGCCATACCCTGACTCTTGCTCTTCTGTCCCCCACACAGCAAATCTCCACCATGAAAGGAAGCAGGGTTAGCGAGAGCACGCCTGTGGCTGCGAGCTCAGCTCTAACTCCCTCTGCAGTTGCACAGCCTTCCCCGAGGCCTAGTCTGTACAGGCAGTGCGTTGGTGCCATGTGCTCGCAAAGGAAACACTGCACAGCTCGCTACCCGGCTGAGTGGGGCTCGAGGAGGGGGTGAGGTGGCTTATCCAGCAGGTAAGCCCCTGCTCCCTCCTGGGCACTGCCACCCCAGGGAGTGTGACTACTGAGGTGGCATGGGGCCCCATTTGCTAGTCACTGAAGTGAGGCCTGCGGTTTGATTGGCAGCCAGCTTAGCACTTAACAGCTAGGCCTGAGCTGCAGACTTTGCTCAGAGCTCCTGCAAGGATGTGGAGTTTGGAGCTGGGTATTTGGGCCAGCCCATTTTACCGGGGGCCAGCTGGGAAGTTCAGATTTCCTTACTGTCCATCACCTCTCTAATCTTAGAGCTTCACCATTACAACACACATTACCAACGTTCCCTACTCCCGGCACACCCACGGGAGCAGCTACAATCCTCCTTTTACCAGTGGGGAAACTGAGGCATCAAGCTATTAAGTGACTTGCCCAAGGCCACAGCAGGGGTCCAGATTTGAACGGAGGCGTTCCTGGCTACTAGCCCCATCCTCAATCATTAGGTAGTTTAAATGACACCCTCAGGCCAACACAGGCTAAGGCAAGGCTAGGAGGCAAGTGGGAGGGAGAGCTTTCCTAACATGGGGGTCCCACACCAAATGAATGCAGAGCACAACACACGCTGTATGTGGCTGCAAGTTCACTGAGCCACACAGCCTGCGGCAAGGCTGGCAAGCAATGCTTCGCCTGGCTAAACTGCTCTGCCTCTCTCTGGCTTCCCTTCTTTTCTGTAAAGGATCTCTGCTGCAAAGGCACCTGCGTGCTCAGGCTGCCTCCAGCCTTAAAGGGCGGGGACTGGGGAGCTCTGACTTCCTGCCACGCTGCAGCCCATCAGAGCTGGAGGGATGTAACATCCTAGTTTAGGAGGGACCCAAAGGTGAAAGCAGGGTTCACTTGCAAATTAAGCCCGACCCAGGGTTCCATTGCTAAGTATTGGGATCCTCAGGGGCCACACCAAACTAGACCGAAACGGAGCAGATTGCTGCTGCTCTCGAATGGAGGTGCAGCCCTCGGAGACGACCGTTCCCAACATGCTACCTTCCTTAGCAGCCTGAGCACACGGCCTACAGTAGCAGGGTTTCTGCAGGACCCCCAGTCGTGTTAAAGATGAAGGCAGCTCAAGGCTGCCCTATACCTCCAGAGGTTAGATGTGGCCTTGGGGCCAAACTTTGCTGCTGCTGGGTTAAAGCAACACTGCCAGGCATTGAGTTGCCATTCACAGCCCCCAGAATCCCATTGCACAGAAACAAAGTGATGGAGTAGCTCTGGCACATCTCCTTTCTGACGGCTGGGAGCCGACTCACTGCATGCCCTTCAAGGGGGACTCAGCGGCACTCGAAGGCCCTTGCCCTCACCGCAGGCTGCTGAGTGGATTGGTGCTATCAGCTTCCTGCTGTGAACCACCATCTCCTGGCTATTACTGTGGAGCGTAAATTGGGGCCTGTTAAAATGCAATTTCCAAAGCACTGTGGGACTTGTTTCTCTGCAAATGTCTTGCTCATTTATTTAGCATCGTCCAAGGTCGAATAAGGCGAAGGCAAAAACAATCGGACAAAGGTAAAACTACAAGGGTTGGCAGCTCCAGCCCTACTGGGACATGCAGGTTTCCAGCTGCAACGTGCTCTGTGCTTCTGAGAGGCAGAGAGCGCTGTATGTAGGGGGCACCCAAGAAGAGAATAGTGACAGTGTGATGCAGAGAGGGATTGGAATCATGGAGAGGGGGTTCAAGGAGGGATGTGGAGTGGGGGCAGGGCTGCTGGGTTTCTTGGGGAAGTTGGTGCCTCTCAACACTGCCACCAAAAAGGCAGGGGAAAGCTTCCAGGAACAGATCTCAGTTGCCTGGAGCTATAATACCACTCCCCACAGAACCCAGCCTCCAGGGGCAGAGCCAGCAGTGACCGGCCTGTCCCGTCCCTGGCACTGGTGGCATGGGGATACTGCAGTTTGGGGGAAGGATGCGTGTCTCTCATTGGCTGGGCTGCAGCATACAAAGGGGATCGAAATAACACCACTCTCAGCTCCTTGTTCAGCTCTGGCTAATCTCATCTGCAAACACAAATTCGACTGCCGGGTCCCTGCTCATGACGACCAGATCTACCTCTGCTCCAAAGATGTCTCCTTCTGTCCATGGTAAAATCTTGGCCTCTCCCTTGGACATCTCCTCATGGATGTCTAGCCATCAGCTCAAGCTCAATGTGCGTAAAACACAGTTCTCCGTTCCCTTTCCCAATCTCTCCTTTCTTGATTGCTGTAGGCAGCACCACCATCATGCCCGTCACTCAGGCCTGTGAGGTGGGCATCATCTTTAACTCAGACCTCTCTCCAGGTTCTTACATTCAAGCTACGTCCCAATCTTGCAGATTCCCTCTGCAGATTGCTCACCAGTCAACCCCTGTACTCTACCCGCGACAAGAAGAGTAAGGTAAGTCGACGGGAGAGTTTCTCCTGTCAACCTCCTGTGGTGCGGACCCGAGGGTAACTCGACCTAAGTACATCGACTCCAGCTATCAGAGTAGCAGCCGTGTTAGTCTGCATCCGCAAAAAGAACAGGAGGACTTGTGGCACCTTAGCGACTAACACATTTATTTGAGCATAAGCTTTCGTGAGCTACAGACAGAGCTGGAGTTGTATAGCGTAGGTTGACTTACTGCAGTAATGTAGACATAGCCTAAGATGCGGCTTTTCCTATCCACACAGGTAAAACTCTCACCCAGGTTCTCATCCCCTGTGTCTCATCCCCTTGTGTCTCAGTCACTGCATCATTCTTCTCTCTGGCCTTGACAACTGCTGGCTTGCCTGTAGCCATTCAGAATGCTGCTTAGCCCATCATTTCCCTAGCCCATCCCTTTGACCACATCACCCCTCTTTGCATCCCTCCATTGGCTGCCCCTCCCATATCGTATCAAACGCAAGCTGCCTGTTTTCACTTTTAAGGCCCTTCATGGCCTGTCCCACCCGCCCTATCCTCTCTCATTTATTATTGAGACGTCAACTCTTGCCTCTGATCAGCCCATGCTGGCAGCCTCCACCACCGGCTTGTTCCATTTTCAAACAAGCCAGCACGCCTCCTCTCATGCTGCCCCACATGCTTGGCAGGCCACGCACTTTAAACATCCAGAAAGCCACCTCTGCATCCTCCTTCCAAACTCGCCTTTGCCACGAGGCCTGCAAAACACGTGTCCATGGCTACGCTGCAGGTGTGCAGACACCATTGCCTGTCACGCTGATCAATGCTGGTTCCTCGTCCTCCCCCTGTTGGTCTGTCTGTTTGCAGTCACTGTCTCTTGCCCAATACACAGACTGAAAACTTTCTGGGTAGGGACCATCTTTTTGTTCTGTGTTTGTACAGTGCCTAGCACTATGGGGTCCTGGTCCATGGCTGGGGCTCCTAGGGGCTACAGAAAATGAAATAATAATTAAGGCAAAAGCCCCTCTTTGAGTGGGGTGAGGCACAGATCCATTCATGCCCTTCTACAAAGGGTCCTGGGGCCACTGCTTTGGGCACCTGTCAATGCCACTCTGCACAGGGGGTCACTCAGAGCAGCAGGAGGTGCCATCTTTCCCCCTTCACCAGTGCAGGCTCAACTTGCTGCCTCAACTTTGCTGGGAGCGTGGGAGAAACAGGCACTAGCAACTGGCCCTTGCCAATGACTGAAAACAGGGACTGATTCAAAGTGGAGACTCAGTGCTCAGTAGTGGATTTTCTAGCTATATGGCAACATCCAAATGGACATCTTGGAACAGAACCTGGTCCATAATCACCAGTGCCCATCCCCTCTACAGGCAGGGCCGGATTAACCTTTTGTGGGCCCGGTGCCAAACATATTTGCGGCCCCATAGGGGCAATGGAACATGGTGCGGGGAGATCAGTCCCTGGAGCGAGGGGCTGGCCAGGGGCATGGTACGGCTGGGGCGGCCCCACTCCGCCCAGCACGAGGGCACTCTGCAACTGGCAACTGCCGGTTTGTAAATAGTGTCCCGGCTGGCCCTGTGCTGCCAGCGTGCCTGTTCCTGTCGGGGGTGGGCCCATGCCATGCCACGCAGCCCCCCTCACTCCCGATGGCCAGATCCCGCCCAGACTTGCTATGTCTAGCTCCCCTCCCGGGTCCTCCCACAAATGCACAGTGTCCTGCACAACACCATCCCTACCCAGTGCCCCCCTGTCCACAGCCCCATCACAACTGCCCAGCACCCCAACACACACATCTTCCCAGCACCCTCCCCTGAGAGCCCCCAGAGACCCACTCCCCCACCCCCTGCCTCCTGGTCACATTCACCAGCCCTGCTGGGAGGCGACTGTGTCTGCTGGGCTGAGCCAGCAGCGCAGCCAGGGCTGGTCCCGGGGCAGGGAATCGCTCTGGCCCCTCAGGAGTGGCGCGATCATCCAGGCCAGGGACTGCCCCGGCCAGGGCTCCCTCAGGACCCACTTGCCTGGAGGGGCCCAGCCAGCCCCCCCCACTGTCCCCTCCTTCCCCCTCCGACTGCCTGGGCTTCTGTACCAGTCCCAGGAGGATCAGCTCCGAGGAGACAGGTGGGGTCCCAGGGGCGGTGGGAAGGAGAGACTGCCCGGAGCCGGAGGCGCACTGGAGTCCGGCCAGGGGGCAGAGAGGAGTCCGTGGCGGGCAGGCCAAGAGGAGCAAGTGATAGAGTGTGGAGGGGAACAACGGGCTGGCAGGGTCTTGGGGCACAGTGCAAGCGGAGCAGGCCGGGGCCCCTTCTGAGCATGGGCCCAGCTCCATGGCACCTCTGGCACCATTGTAAACCCGGTACCGTCTGTTGGCTGAGAAGCACAAAACACCAGTCCAGAGATACAGCAGCTTTCCTGGTGCTGCTGGCTTGCAGGGACTAGGAACAGACCAGGCTAGGAGGTGAAGTAGGGTGCCTGCTCTCTCACAGATACTGAAGACTCTTTGCAGTGTTTCTGAGTGGGCTGGGGCCTAAAGGGCCTAGTATACTAAGAAGTTAAAATTTCAGTGGCCTTGAATAGCAGCTGGGAACGAAATGCCATTTGTAGCATGATTATTAATACATATACATGCCATCAATCAGCCTTGCAAAACTATCATGAAATGTACCAGGCTAATCCTGTGAACAAACATTTGTATTGTACTGCTTCCCCAACACCTCCCCCCAACCCGATAAAACTGCTTCCCCCAGGGTAACATTTTTTCAAGACTGATTCTTAGCTGGTGCACTGAGAGATGATACAGAGTTAGATTTGTACACGTGTCAAACGTAATGTTTTAAACTTCAGTTGTTTTTGAACTTGTTGTGAGTTAAAAAAAAGTTTGAATAATTTTTTAAATAATGCAAAAAAGACGTATTTCTTTTCCTGCTCGCTTTCATTCCAAAGTGGCTGGAAAGATTTTCCCTCAGACTTTCCAATGTACTTGCTCATGACCTGAGATCAAATATAACATGCCAGTTGTGTTGCCTTCTAGTGGCTGAGCCATATAAAAGGATAAAAGCCTACTACTGCACCAGCAAAAGAAGTTGCACCTGTACTGCAAGGGGTGATAGTGCGTGCATGCTTGCAGAGCTGAAAACCCTAGGTTGGTGATCTGTGACTGGGGCTGTTACTCAAATGTGGGAAATTACAATAAAAACAAAATATTTTTTTTCAGAATGCAATGAGCAACTGCAGAGAGGTTTCAAATAAAACTTCCCTTGCAAGCCTAACTATACAATATCACTCACGACATCGGATACCTGCAATCTATGCCTGTGCACGCACATTTTGTTTCACGTACTGAAAAAAAAAGGGCTGAGTATATATTGGATTACACCCACATAGCAATTGCCCTACTTCATCTCTACACCTACCTACCAAAGATTGCCCTGTAAATAAACACAGTCATGAACATAGATATAAGCACCTTTTCTCCTGCAGGAGTTTCCCAACTATAGCGAGTAATAATCTGAAATGCAGCCACCTCTGGAATGGAACTTAAGAGTCACACAACAACAGTGAAGGTCAGGAAGTGAAGGATAATGTATCTCATTGAAACTGCATCAGAAACTGAAGGAAGGACACTAATGAAATGTAAGGATTATAATTTGCCCAGGACACTGGGTTTAACATCAGTTTAAAGTGCCAGGCGATCTTTAATGACATGGGATACAGAATATAGTTTTAGACCTCTTCCGAAAGCTCAGTGCAGAGGCTGGGGTTACCTAACCAAAAATACTATTTCCTGCAGGACCTGGAGTTTCCACGGAGTCTCCCATCTATTTAACACAACCCAGCTTAGTTTGTGAGGTCCCAGGCCAAGGTGGCCAGGCCTCTCAGGAATAACAGCATGTTCCTACTCTCATGTGCAGCCTCCATCCCCCTGAATTTAGGCAGCCTTGCTGCTGAACTGGCTCCTTCCTCTGCTCCCGCACACTCACCACTGCTGACAGTGCAATGAATTCCTTCCTTTCATCCTTAATACATCTGACAAGCTGAGGCACTTGGGTTAATGAATCTCTGGTAAACACAACACCAGCTGCTTTCAAGCCACACATAAAGGGGAAAGGAATCTAGGAAGGGAGGGATGAACAGGGGCTCCCTGAGATTTATACAAGGGCAAATTGGCCAAAAAGCAGTGATCATTTGAACCCAGTGGCTGGAGAAGGCAATTGCTGTCTAAAGGAAAATCTACGCTGCTCCAATACCACGGACTGGACGGTGACCTTGAGCGTGGTGGGTCAGCTCAGTGGCTCTGGCACATTCCTCCGTGTGTGGTGAATGGGCCAGATGCTGCAGCAGAGCAGGGACGTAGGGGTCACAGGTTTCCCTTTTTAGAATCAGTCCATTCTCACCTATGTCTGTTCAGGGATAGTTCTTGCTCAAGACCTTGATCCCTCTCCTCCACCTCCCCTGCCAGCTCTGCAGGATGCCTCCCGCTGTTCCTCTTCAGGGGAACGTTATCACAAGAGCTCACCCCACATCCCCCCAAAATGTCAAAAGGTGCAAATTCATGACCTGCCTCCTCCCCACCCCCACATCGAGAAGGAAATATGGGCTCTCATGGCTAGCTCTTTTGGAAGGGAACATACTCCACCCCACCCCAAGGCCTGCTGCAACATGAGAGGGAACTTTTGCAGCTGACCCAAATCATTAGACAGCACTAGGCCCCTGCTTTGCCTGGGGAGAGCACCAACTCTCCTCCAAGGATTAAGATCAGACCCCCTAGAAAGCATACAAGGAGGAAAGAAAGCTGCTTCCTGGAGAGACCACATTCCAGGGCATAGAATTGAAGGAGACTTTCTAAAAAGCTGGGGGCTGGTTGGTTGCATTCCCTGGGGTCTGCTGGCAGTGGGGAGAGGTTACTCTGCAAGGGCCCCACTGCAATACCTGGCCAATAGCAATGGTACCATGTTCCCTTGCTAAATGTTCACTGCAACAAAGATCTTGGCTCAGGAGATGGAGGGACTAAGCAGATGAAGAGGGCAGAGTCCTCAGTCCTGGAGAGCAGGAAAACCATCAGTTAGCCATAGAGGGAATGGAGTTTTGGAACCCCGTGGCTGGACCCTTTGATATCTTTTGGGAAGTCCTCTGTGAAGGATCTCCTCAACCCAACACCCTTTTTTTGGGCTGAGGATGACTGGATGGGACTCCCTTTGGAGCCCATCAGCACACATCCTACGCTGGCCACAAGGGTCACTGCAGAATGACTCAAGATGTCATCTCCTAGAGGCCTGAGGAGTGAGCAGTTGGATCCAGCACTGGAGGATGGGTCTCTTGGACAGTAAGGTAGTGCACTGAACACAGGCCTCCCCACTGGGTGTGAGGGGGAAGCCAGGCCTCAGACATTTTGGGAAGCCAAGCACTGCAGAAGGCTTTGGGCAGGTGATACTTTGAGTTGATTTAGTGACACGCTATTGTCCAGAGAAGCCTAAATTTATGATAAAGTCATCAGAGAGGGTGGGGTGGGGACACGTGTGCTGTTGACTCTACACCTGAGACAGGTCAGTGTACCTCTGCTGTGCCCTGGGAGTAACATGCAGACTGGGTGTGCCTCAGAGGAAAGCATGTCACCTCGCTGAATCTCCCCAGCACGCACTGATGCACTCCCCCTGAGAGCCATCCACACAGGTACAGCTAACATTATTCTTTGGAGGGAGGGATGAGACCAAGATAGGCCTAGAGCTGTTTCCAGCCACAACAAGGTCAGCATGGCTCCTACTTGGCTAGCCTATGGGAGACCTTGCTCCTGAGTTCACATGGTACAGCAGATGCCTACCCACCACGTCATCCCCAGGCTAAGCCATGGCTGCTGTAGGGAGCAGGATGGATCTGGCTGGAACAGGGTCAGAGCCAAGAGGCAACTCTCCTGAGACATTGGCTTTATTCCTTCATGGTGGCAGCATGAACTCCATGACGAAGAAATCCCAACTTTCTCCCTACCTGCACCCTCTTCCCCAGCAGCCAACAGAAGTGAAAACCAGAACTATCCCCTCTTTGGGATCCAGCCACCTGCTCTGCCCAGTTACCCAGGAGCTTTAGTGCCCATTCCATCCCCTGGCTCCTCTGTTACCCCAGCGAAGGGAACACAGCTGCCCCCCTGCACATCTGGGGAACCACAAGTCCTGGGAGCTCAAGGCAGCAGCTGCAATTTCAGATCCATTCAGTGGGCACAAGGGTTGGAGACTAGGAGAGGCCTGTGGTTTGGGGTGGGGGGATGTAAAGGGTGCAAATCCATGCCCCTCCCCACAGTCTGAAAGGAAATAGGAGCTTGGGGGCGGGGAAGGCTAACAATGGAATGAAGAAAGAAATAAGTTAGTTAACCAAAAAAAGCTGAGAGGAGATCCTGGCCCCAAGGCTGCTGCAGCTCCCACTCCAATGTCCACTGACTGACAAGTGCTGTCCGCATGTCACCACCCTGCCACCTGCAGCTTTTGTTTGCAGCCTCGGCTCCATCATCAGAGTTTGTGCACCCAGCAGTGGGAAGTGAGAGATGCAGAGAGAGAAGCACCTGGGAGCATTCGGTGGCTGGTGCTGCAATTGGATCGACCCAGGGTTTTTCCACCACTCAGTACAATCCAGATGATGGGTCCACTCCGCTGTTGTCTTCTTTGGGTTGGAGTCGGGGCGGGAGGACACAGAGAGTGGGGGAAGGAGTGCGGTGTGGATTAAAGCAAATCACACATAGACAGTTGAATACACGGAAGTCTGGAAGATGCAGATGGAGACACTGAAGCACATGCAGCATGGAGCGAGAGGCTATGGCCAACCAGCACTCAGGAGGTGAGCTGCCCCACATGGAGGCAGGTGGGATGTTACCGTAGGGGCACTGCAGCTGGTACACGGTAGCCAGAGCCAGAAGGATAAAGGTGGAACACGGAGAGCCAAAAGGGGAGCGCTGCGGTACACTGTCTCCTAAGCTGTGGGCTCTGCAGTAAAGAAGGTAACAGTTCTGGTAGAAATTTGTGCTTTAATATATATATATATATATTTTGTTTAAAACAAAGTTCCCACTTCCCTGAGGAAGTCCTGTCCAATGTTCCCAAGGAAACACGGGGAGGGGGAGTTTCCTCCTTCATTCGTTCTTTACATTTTTGTCATTCCCATTTTTCTTCATTCCTTCTTGTGTGATTGTTTTCTTCCTTCCTTCCTCTCTCTCTCTCTCTCATTTTCTGTTTTTATTTATTTATTTATTTTAGACATTATGACTTTCTTGAGGAATCCACCAGGTCCTGAGCAGATCCCTTTGCGTGGTCATGCTTGTCAGTCTTTGGTAACGTATGGACACTTTGGTGTGCCAGTGAGGAGGGGGAGGAAGAGGAGCAGAGGTGGCTGAGTAGGAAAGGAGCAGGAATGTCTTGGCCAGAAGACCGGAGCACTTGCTTGCCATCATCTGAGCAGCATGTAAAGGAAAAAAGTCAGTGGCCCACCGAGAGAAGACCTGTGCAGGGTTGGGACACTGTTCCCCGGAAGGGCGACTGCTGCAGGCCAGAGAGAGAGAGAGAGAGATTGGTTATGGAAACGAGACATACCCTGTAGAGCAAGTCAACCAATGTCAGTGCCAGCTGGCCCCACAGGAAACTGCAAGCTCAGCATACACTAGATATCTGCCATCCTACCCTCATTCTTCTCTTCTTGGGGATCTGGTTGAGACCGTAGCTGGGACTAAGCTCATAGGACACCAGCATTCGTGCTCAGGGACAGAAGTCAAGGAAAAAACAACGTCCCTCTTTCCCAGTGCAACGTGGCATCAAACTGGCTAGTATAGTACAGCCATGGCTGCACATCCTACAGCCAGCAGGGAAGGATCCCTCTTTAGAAACCTCTCATGTCAGGAAGATATTGGCAAACTGGAGAGGCTTAGAGAAGAGGACCACAAATGATCATGGGGCTAGAGGGGTTTATTTCTGAGTGAAGATGAAAGACTAAATCTTTCTTGCCTAAACAATGACTGAGGGTGATGTGAGATCCACCTACTTGTATGTGAAAGGTGCATTTTGTAAGTAACAAGAGAGATTGTTCAGAGCGGGATGGGCTGTATGGTGAAATAAAGCCAAGTAAAACATTGGCTGAATATCAGAACATATTTCCTGACCGTAAGATTCATTAGGCTGGGGAACTGTCTCCCCGGGGAAAAGGCACATTGCTAAGGACATTTTGAATGAGACTGAACAAGCAACCCTGGCATATACTCTAGGGAACAGTCCTGCCTGGGCCTCAGAGGTGGACTAAATAGGCCCCAGTACAGCTACTTCTGTCCAATCTCGAAATTCTAGGATTCTCGGGTTAGCTGGTACCCTCTGTTCTGGTGCAGTCTGTCCCTCATTGCAGGACTTGAGCCTTAAAGGCTCAAAGAAGATCTACCCCCTCTCCAAGGCTGCTCAAATAACTAGGGTTAACCAGCTCCACTGGTACAAGATCTGTGATACTTCATAAGCCTCTCCAGAAATAGTGATCTTGAAACTGCCCAATACCCTGGCCAAAACCTTGGCATATTAATACAGAGTTCAGTGCCCAGTTGCAGGCTTCTGACCAGCTAGCAGGTCCAGCAACACCATCCATATGGATTCTGCATCATTCTTTAAGGTCACGTTGACCCTGGGCTGTTACTTGCCAGTTCAGGGGTTAGAGATTCTGGAGCAACCCAACAGCAATGTCAAGTTGACCATGAGAGATCTCTGTCCTACCCTATCAGGCAGCTAAACCCTCCTCCCCTTTCCTGTTGGAAGGCTTTGCTTTAATAATGTGTCATCATACACTGAGCAGTAAACCAAATACTTCCCCATAAAACCCTCCACACCCTCCAACTCAACCCTCCCCCACAGACCCAACAGACATCCAACACCCACCCTACACACCACCCACCCAACACAATCCCCCACAGATCCAACCAACACCCAACAGCCACCCTACACACCACCCACCCAAATCAACCTCCCCCCACACCCAACCAACATCCAGTCACCCTACATGCCACCCATCCAACACAACCTTTCTGACACCCAACCAACACCTACCTTACACACTGTCCACCCAACACAAACACCCACACAGACCCAACTGACATCTAACACCCCTCCCAAAACCCACACAGATCTAGTTGATATCCAACACCCCCCAACATACCAGACACCCAATTCTACATACCTCCCATTGCACTAGCATCCACTCAGACCCACTTAACATCCAACACCCACCCTACAAAAACCAACCAACATCCCCTCAACTCAAACACTCACACAGACCCCATTGACAACCAACACCTACCCAACACACCACCTACCTCCCCAGCACACACACCAACCTACCCATGCCAAGCAACACTGACATAAAAACACCACAGCCACAAACATCCCACTAACACTCACTGAGCGACACACACTGGGTACTTATACTTACATGTGCTCCCTCTCTGTTCACCGATACATGCTCATATCAATGCATCAGATCCCCCCCATGCCCTTTCTTCCTCTGGCAGCCCCCCAGGTGCCCACTCACATGCATACTCAAGCCGGGTCACATACTCACCTTTATTTGGGCCAATCGGCTTCCTTGGGCAGTCTCCCGTTTTCAGAGTGACATCGTCAATGGCAATATCCCCCTCGTAGCTTGTGCCGCGCACGCCTTCAAAGATGATCTGCGGACGGAGACAATGAGCAGTGAGGGGGGCTGCCCCGAGACAGGGGAATGGCCTCACTGACGGGCCAGGCCCATGTATACAGAACAGGTAGGACACAGAGTGCCACATCCACAGTCACCAACTGCCCAGCAGAGGTGCCCTGACTGTGAGGGGGTCCCACCGCCAGCCCAGGGTCCCAGACTCCTGTAGCCCACTGGTCACTCCCCTGAACAGTCTCTGTTCCCTACAGCAACATGGCTGCCCCCCTGGCTGAGCCCCCTGAGCGGGATTTGTTGCTCTCCCAGCCCTCTGGTCACTCCCCCACAGCCCCTGGGCTGTTCCCCATGGGGCCCTTCTCCCTCTCCAAGCCCCCGTCCCCCGGCTGCATCCGCGTGGGGTTCCTTGTGCTCATCACCTGACATGCCTGCACTGTGCAGAGGGTCCCTCTCCTAAGTGCCCCTGGGCAGGCCAGTGAGGGACCTAGTGTCACCAAAGCCCTGGGGTGGGAGTAAGTTGAACTGGGGCAGCCCCTGCTCCCCACAGATAGCAGACAGCGATTCCCACTCCACCTTTGGGGCATCTCCATTTGGGGGGCTGTAGGGCTCCCCTCCCTATGCCCCCCACCCTGGTCAGGAATCCTGGAGAGACTGGCTGCTTCCTTCTCAGAGCCTGTCCTTCATCAGCCTGAGCTCCCTCTTCTGTTCCCATGGTTACCAAACTCTGCCGGCAGCCCAGGGGCAGAGACTCAATCACTACCTGCTGGCGGCAGGGAGGACACAATTGGGGCCAGCTCTCACTCACTGTGCAGAGGGGTAAAACCCAGCTTCGGGCTCGTCCCCTCTTCTGCCCCCACCCACACTAGTCCTGCACGGCCACTATAATCCCTGCCCAGCTACCCTGGAGAGAGCACACACGCCCTGCTCGCCCCTCAGCACAGAGCTGCACGCAGACTCACATAGTTACTCTCATGAGTAACTACATTCTTCTTTGTGATTTTATAGCACCCCAAAGTATAGGCCCTTCACGACTATACAACAAATCAACGCACACAGACTCAGCACTCACAAGTAACCCTACAACACCAACCCAGCATGCAGGGCATTGCATTAAGCACCCTACAACAACTAATGGGTGAATGCCCCTGCACTCACAAGCCCCAAAAGAGTGCCAAGCCCAGTGCTCACAAGCAACCCTACAACAACAAACCAGTGTGCATGGCTCCAGAGCTCACAACCCCACCCCCAACAACAAGCTCACAAGTGCTACAGTAACAGACCAGTGCGCACAGATCTGGCACTCACAAGCAACCCCGCAGTATCAGACCAGTTCCCAGGCCAGTGTTCAACCACAGATTGATAGTAACAAATCTGTGCTTGTGCATGATGGAATTGGGCAAGAGGTCTGCAGAGGCATGAAACTCCATTCTCTTCCCTCCCTGAAACTGGTTGTGACTTTTAACACACTCCCTCCCCACAACCCTGGGAGCGGGGAACTGCTCTGTGCCCTCCCCTGTTCCCTATTAGGGCTGTTCGGGTGATGGCTCTTCCTGGGCACAGCATGCATCGGGGATGGGGGGAAGGAGGGGAAGCTCTAATGCCTGCTTACCTGAAAGGGTCCTGGGGGGTTGATGGGGACGTGTGCTTGTTGCCACTCATTTCCTCTGTTCCCGCTGAGCGACCAGACTTGGGTGTCAATGGCCCGTTTGTTCCGCAAACGAACCAGAAGATTCAAGGAGCCTGCAAGAAAGAAACTGGACACTGGAGGCCTGGGTCAGGCTCCATCAGCTTGCAAGTGTCCCAGAGAGTCCTGCTGACATTAAGGACCCTTTGTCAGTGGCCCAACAGAGCTGCCCAATGATTTCAACAAGGGTCAGTTGCCTATACCTTTGAAAATCTGGGCCACAGAGACCATCCAGGGCAGGACTATGCTCCTAGAGCAAGAGGACAGAAGGGGATGGGAATCGGGGAGGTCTGTAGGACTTGAATAGAATCGTGGCATCTCCAGCCCCCGCACTGAAGGGCTGGGCTGAAGCCACTGCTGCTCCTGAAGGGCTGGGCTGCTGTGTTCTGACCTCGGTACTTCACTCTCAGAGGCATCAGGCACAGGGCAGGGAGGGAGCAGCCCCCTTCCATACAGCTCTGGTCACACTGCACCTAGGAGCATTTCATACGTGGCAGCCAAGTCTCAGAGGTAGGCTGGCACATAGCAGCTGATGTCTCGCTCTCTCTGGTTGTGGAAGGACCCCATCGGGGTGCTGCACTGTCAGAAAGCTATCAAGTTGGAGGATGTTCAGGGATGTGTAATAAAGATGATGAAACGTTTAGACTTGGAGTGGCTGACTCAGAAGGAAAGGTTAAAAGCATGAAATATCTGTAACTTGGCTAACACATCACTACAGGCACAGTGACACTGCAGCCGGGAGCAAGCCTCCCAGCCCAGGTAGACAGACATGCACTAGCTTAGCTTGAGCTAGTGCGCTAAAAATAGCAGCATACATATTGCAGCTCCAGCAAAGACGTGAGCTACCCACCTGAGCTCAGACCCAGGGGTTGGGTGAGCCGGGGAGACTCAGCCGCAACTACAATGCTGCTGTTTTTAGCAAAATAGTGCAAATCTGTCTACTTAGGCTGGGAGGCTAGTTCCCAGGTGCAGTGTAGACATACACTAAGGGGGAAGGGAGAGAGATTGCCGAGAGATGGCCAAAGAGTGTCAGCATGAATGGGGCAGAGGGATTGGTCAGGGAGGTCCGAGGGACTGGTAGTAGGAGTTATGGGATTATAACAAGCTGAACATCAAGAAAAAGTTCCCAACATGGTGAGACACAAGACTGTGGAACAGTCTCCAAAGAGAAGGAAAGGAAACCCCCATGTCTGGTGTTATTCAAACATCACCTTGGGTTTAAGCCAGGACTGGTGAGGAGGCAGGATGGATCAGCTGATCTAAACATTCCATCTCTGATTCCTAGGAGGAAATTTGAACAAGTGAGGGGAAAAAAAAAAATCCTTCGAATGGTAAGAGCAGATTCTTTCCCTGGAGGCGCCCATTTTGCACTTGGATTGACACCACGAGCCGAGGTGACATGTGACCCAGCACATCGCTCTCTGGAGAGGTCAGCTGGCATTGCGTGACCTTGGGAAGACTGAGATAAGTGAATCGAGGCTCTCCTCCGTGGAAACACAGAGACTGGAATGAGGAAAGTCACTGTGCGTGTCTCTAGCAAAAGACAGCTTTGAGCCACAGGTGTCCTTATGTCCTCCCTGCCCACTGGCCTCAGAAACTCCCAGTGAAGGAATGTCTGATTGAAGAAGAATGAAGCCTAAATCTCATTGAGGCTGTAGGGTGAATTGATGGTCCAAGAAGGAACTAAATAGTCTCATTGACATTGATCTATGGGGTTATGCTGAGCACAGCTAATTACAGCCACTAGAGCTGGGAAGGTGAGAGGTGCAGAGAGAGGAAAGAATTTGCATGAAGCTGCCAGCAAGTCAGGATTAAAAACAGCCACCCTCTATTCTAACCTCATTCAGTGACTGACACTAGGATCTGCCATGTAAGAGCCTGGCTGAACAGCCACTGGTGGGACAAATTGTTCAGTAAATGGATTTTGGTGCCCTAGGAAAAAAGAGAAGGCAAAATGGAAAGGGACTAAAAGGAGCACTGGAATGTGAATTGGTGCCAACTAAGCACTGTCTGTGAACTCCTGGTCGAAGCCCAAACCAATCCTGAGCACACTCCTGACTGTCAACTCCAAGCCTCTGCTCTGCAGTAACAAGGGAAAAGGAGCAAGGCTATTACCTTTTGCCCAACAAAGATCTCCAGTAATAAAAATAATACTAATAAAATAAATAAATAAAATAATAATAATTAATATGCACTTCCCAGATGAGGATCTCGGAACATTTTACAAACATCTGTGAAGCCTCACAACTCCCCTGTGAGATGGGTCAGTATCACTAGCCCTAGTCTACAGAGGAGGAAACTGAGTCACAGAGAAGCTAAGTCACTTGCCCAAGATTATATTAAAAATCAGTGTTAGAGCTGCAAAGAGAACCAAGGTCTGCTGACTCCCAGCCCTGTGCTCTAATTACTAACCCACGCTGCCTCCCTGAGCGTGCCTGGAAAGACATTCCCCTCGCCGATCTCAGTGACTATGGCCTTCTGCTCGCTACTCTGATGGATTCATAGGGCCACGTTCAGACATGGCAAAAAGAGTGCAAGCCCTTTGAAATCAACAGGGTTGCAGCTACTTACGCCAGTTCTTGATCTGGCTCAGAGTCATAGAAATGAAAGATTTGGAAGATTTATGAGGCCTTCGAGTCCATTTCTTCACTCAGTCAGTGCTGGTTTGTTTCCTAGAATGCTCTCAAGGTTCAGCCTATCTTAAATGCCTCATGACGGGAGTACCTCCTCTTGGCAACAAACCCTTGGCTCTGGCCTCCAGATAGGACTATCTGGGTATTGTTGGTCCTGGGCTACAAAAAGCAGAACAGCTTCCATTCTAGTGTAACAGCTGGTAATACTTAGCTGGGAAGACAGGTGGCGTGGTGGAGCTCCACTGAGATGACAGTGGTGCCTCCTGCTCCACCCCACCCCTCGTCTTCTGATGGGGCAGCTGGGGTGGCATGACACACACAGACGCCCTCTGCTGGGATTGTGGGGGACTGAAGGTTCTTTCTTCCTAGACCAGACCCCAGCTTACTTGAAGAGATGGAACAACAGGCTGAGAAGGTAAATCCCAGCCAGCCTGAAGATCAGCAAAGGCAGGTCTGCTCCATGCCACCCCAGCAGATGGGCTGTGAACATATGTGGCCCACTGCCAACAACCTTCTGCCTAGCAGAAGGTTTTGTGTGTATGGGGGTGAGGAAAGCACCAGGAGAGGGCCCTGTGTCATGAGCCACGCTGATCCTGCCCAGAGTGCTGGATGTGATCAATGGAGCCCATGGCACACGGCCTCATGCTTTCCAGGATATTTCTCTGAAAACAAACTCTGCGAGCAGGACCCAGCTGAAATCCACAAAGTCCTGACCAGTGACCACGTGCAGCTCTGGTGACTAGGCACCTCTGTGTAACAGGACACTTCTCTCATCCCTTCTAATCCTCCTTACTCCCTGCGTAATTTTCAACCCCCTGATAAATACTTCAGATGGGTTCAGGTCAAGCCAAACACCTTACGCTTGTAAGGGGACCAAATGTTCTTCTCCTAGAACAGAGGCTGCATGTCCAACCAGTTGTTTATAAAGGCTGCCTAACAGCTCTAGGTGGGCATTCCTCAGTAGCAGACACTGTACAGTTCCTGGGATAAGGAAGGATACTCTGGTGGTTACAGCACAGGCCAGGGAATCAGGACTCCTGGGTTCCATTCCCAGCTCTATCCCTCTATGACTTGCTGTGAGATCTTGAGCAAGTTACTCCCTCTCGCTCTGTGCTTTAGTTTTCCCCATCTGTGAAATGGGGATAATGATATTAACTCACTTCACAGAGCAGGATTATGAGGATTAATTAATACTTTGCAAATGCTTTGTGATCCTTGGGTGGAAGATGCCAGTGAGTGGGAGAGTAGTAATTATACTGACTTTCCAATGGCTCCACGTAGGAGAAAAATCTAACTGGGAGATGCCTCCAGTCCTCAGCTCACAGGCACCAGAGATGGGCAAGGCCTGTTCTGTTCATTCCCTGGGGGCCAGTGCAGGATGGCTGCCTGCAGTTAGGGCAGGACAGGAAACATTTTTCCTAGCTTATGAGAATTTTTGAAATTTTCCCATCTGAAATTGGGTGCAAAGTTGAAATCTCGAAAATTTTCACAAACAGAAAATCTAAAAAAAAAAAAAAAAAAGATTCGAGTCAATCGAAATGTTTCGATAATTTTGAAAGGATGTTTCAATTTTGACATTTTTCCTTTTATTAAAATGTGTAGATTTACTAATATTTCCAAACAAAAAGTTGCTTCAAACTCAAAACCCCTAAACCTTCTGGTTCAACAAGCTCAAACTTATTTTTGTTACCAAAACTGTGTTGAGTCGAGTGCTTCGCGGACTCTGATCCTGGTTCACAAAGTGTGTTGGTCTTGCCAAATCAGCATTTTTCAGCAAAAAACGTTTTGCCAAAAAAAATTCCCGACCATCTGTACTTGCAATCTAGCCACCAACCTAGTTTTATTTTACCGTGATGTAGTTTCTCATTTAGAAATCCACATTCTTACTGGTAGTTTTGTTGCCTCTTTTCATTCCCCCACCTCCTCCCCATCTGTTTGGCCTTTCCTCAAAACACCTGCTAGTGATACACAGATAAGGGGAGGCCAGGTGTCTGTTGCTAGAACGTCGCAGCAGGTCGGAGCCCATAGTGACAGAGAGATACAGAGGAAATCCCTGGGCACTGCCAGTCTCATTGGTATCTCCCTCCAATGGGGCGATCTTGGTATTTTATTTGTTATCTGTATTATTTCATCTTTTCTAATCAGAGGGGAAAATAAAGACCTGTAATAAATGAGGGGGAATCAATTACTGTGTGAGTAAGCTGTGCCTTCTGCTGGCTCCTTTTAGCCCAGAGCTGGCATTTCAGAAGAGTGGCGTGTACACAAAAGAGCACCATCTGGGATGACAGATACAGTAACCCAAGGGGATGCTGCTAAATGTTACCTGCTTGCAGGATGAAAAGGTCTTATTTCAGTTGCCATGGGATAGAAACTTCACTCTGTCGGAACCGCGACAAAAGTCAGGAACAGCTGGCACGGGTGGG